GTTTGACACTTTGACGTAAGATGACAGCTGTCTATTTTATTAAAAAATGGCAGCTGTCATTTTGACACTTTGACTTAAAATCAGAGCTGTCATTTCTCGTCAAACAAACATATGATTACTTGTATCTTCTATTAAGTGTCTTTTGTAGACTCTGTAAAATTCAAGTAAACATGTAATATATGTACACTTTGATCAGAGCTTTTTTTCAATCTTGATTTTAGTTTATTGGGTTACTCCAGTCCAGTATTTCTCAAACTTTTTGCAGCGAGATTCAAAATATTTGTTTGACACTTTGACGTAAGATGTCTATTTTATTAAAAAATGGCAGCTGTCTTTTTGACACTTTGATTTTGGCTGCCATTTCGTGATCCATAGGTAGTCTATTATGTTAACAAACATATAATTACTTGTATTCTCTATTAAGAAGTGTCTTTTGTAGACTCTGTCAAATTCAATTAAACATATAATATATGTACACTTTGATCAGAGCTTTTTGCATCGAGATTCAAAATATGTTTTTGACACTTTGACGTAAGATGACAGCTGTCATTTCACGATACATAAGTAGAGGTTCTCATTCAGTCTATTTTATTAAAAAAAAATCATATAATTACTTGTACAAATTATATAACAAAACAATTAATTTTGATCACAGTTTTGTTTATTCAGCATTTCTCAACCTTTTTACAGCCAGTTTCAAAATATTTGTTTGTAATTTGGTTATAATCAAAATTTTCGACACTTTCACTTAAGGTGACATCTGTCATTTCACGACATTTAGCTATAGCAGTTCTCATTCAGTCCATTATCTTAAAAAAAACATATAATTATCATCATTTTTGACACTTCAACTTAATGTGACAGTTGTCAAACACAAAGGTATTGCGTAATTCCGGTGTTTACCTGAACAAATATGTGATGTGGACCAAACAGATGAAAGTGGACGACAACAACATCATCATTCGGTAATGGTCTCATTGGATAATTGTCTATTTGTGGAATAAATTGCGTACATGCTTCGAGTAATTGCGGGGTGTCAACGTGAAGTGCAGCAGGCTGCTTTGCATATTGAGTTTATGCGGTCAAGGATCGAGAAAAAGGAGGCGGCGCGCTCCTCGCCGCCGGAAGTCGATCCACCATTCCGCGCGCTTTTATGTCACA